AAACTGCTCGATTCCCCTAGATGCCTTTAATTCTGTTTAGTTATTTCCTAAAGCTGTGTGTACACTATTCTAAAACAAATACCAATGAGCAAAAAAACTTACTGATCTCATTGTCCTTCATTCAAATAGAGCATCTAATCCAGCTGATTTTAATGAAATGACTCAATGTTTTGACACGCAAGCAAAAAACAAGAGTTATTTTGTTTATCGACAAAGTTGATATCCCTCCTCGGCACAGGAAACTCAGAGGGAAAACAATGGCAATAACTTAAGAGCTTTTCCCTTCCACTCATTAGTGTGGTCCAGAGAAAAAGGCAAAAACAACAACGTTAATGAACTTTGAACAGACATTTGCAGGAATTTCTAAAGATGTTTTATGGGTGTTCTGAAAGTGATTTCATAAGTGTGGGAAATTTACACTTAGTTTTCTTCTGACTAAGAACAGAGTGATCAATCTCACCAAGTTATAAAAGATAAAAAATCTTTGTGCCTAAAATGCCACAAATGAGAATTCACAATCTAACATTAGGCTGTTAAGCTGCTAACTGTCCTTGATTGCTATTTATTTTCTACCATTCTTTCCCAATTTGAGGTACTGATATATTAGAGCTTAAGCAACATTTTATGTTTTATATTAAAACGTATTAATACAAGATTACACCCAGAATGAAAAATAGCAACAGACCTAGAAACTAAACTGTTTGCTTTTTGAACTTTGACTCATTTATGACAAAAATGATAAACAAATCTTCTAACCACCCTTAACAATTAGGAAAAATAAAAAATAAAAAAGAACAGAAAAACAAAGAAAAGACCTAGTACTTGTTCAGCACTACTGCTTTAATTTCTCGGACTCTTCATTACCACATAGCAGACAGCAGTCACAAGCACGGGGCCTAGTTTTAGATCTCTGGATGGTCTGGGAGTAGTCTGTCCGGCCAATAACCTGCTCGGAGACTATTCCTGCTCATCACACATATGTCTTCAAAAAATTGTATCTTAAGGGCAAATAAACCAACAGTCCTCATGATGTCAAGTGTACTTTTCCTAGTATATTTCCTTCACCAAAGATAAATGTTTCAAGATTTTTATAAAAATATGGCTTTCAGCAAATATTACACACAGCAAACAGACCGGCACAGGCATATCTCTCAGAGGCTGCACTAATAACCTGATGTCATTTGCCTCCAATATGCGGCAGTGGAGAGCATAAACGTTACATGAAGTTTTCTTACCTAAAATGTTTAATCAGAATCTAAATCAAACCTCAACCCAACTTTCCGTTTACAAGAAATGCATGAGATAGGAACATGGTAAGGAAACAATCAAACAGAAAATTGGTCTGGACTCTTCAAAATGTCAGTGTCATATGGGGGATAAAAGCAGGGGGCCAAGGAGACACTAGAGAGACACAATAACCAAATGCAAGCTGTGGACTTCGTTTGGATCCTAACTTACAAAACAATTATTTAAAGTTGAATTAGGTGAAAGTTGGAGAAATCTAAATGTGGACTAGATATCAGATTGCAGTTCATTTTCATAGGTTTGACAGCTCTTGTGTTTGGTGAAAGACCATCCTTACACTTAGGAGAAGCATGCTGAATTAGGACCCAGGAGTCATAATGCCTGCAACTTACTTTCAAATAAATCAGCAAAAAAATTCTGATAAACAGTTAAGTGTATATATGCGCATAGGAAGATAAATAAAGCAATTATTAAGAGTTTTTTAATCTAATGTAAAGTACATAGAAAATACAGTCAATAATTTTATATAATAAAAGCCTAGGTGGCATCATGCCCTCGCGCGACAGCCTCACGCGACACCCTGGCGGGACAGCCTCACGTGACATCGCTGCACACACAGCAGAGGCGGTGCCTGGTGGCCGCTGAGTCCCACAGCTATATACGGCGCGGAGGGGACCAGTCCCGCATCTCCATCTCCTCCGCCTCGCACGGGGAGGAGGTGGGTTCCGGCAGAGGAGGCGGGTCTCGGCAGGGGAGGGCAGTTGTGGGCAATCAGGCCGGCAGGGGAGGGCAGTTGTGAGTGATCAGACCAGCAGGGGAGCGGTTAGAGGGCAATCAGGCTGGCAGACAGAAGTGGTTAGGGGCAATCAGGTCGGCAGGCAGGTAGGCAGGCAGGCAGGCAGGCGAGCAGTTAGGAGCCAGCAGTCCCAGATTGTGAGAGGGGTCCCAGATTAGAGAGGATGCAGGCTGGCTGAGGGACATCCCCTGCCCCGTGCGTGAATTTCGTGCACCGGGCCTCTAGTATTGTAATAACTATGAATGGTGCCAGCTGGGTACTTGCAGTATTGGGGGGATCACTTTGTAAAGTACATGATAGTCTAGCCCTGTGGTCGGTAAACTGCGGCTCACGAGCCACATGAGACTCTTTGGCCCCATGAGTGTGGCTCTTCCTAAGCCTTAGAAGTACCCTAATTAAGTTAATAACAATGTACCTACCTATATAGTTTAAGTTTAAAAAATTTGGCTCTCAAAAGAAATTTCAATCATTGTACTGTTGATATTTGGCTCTGCTGACTAATGGGTTTGCCGACCACTGCTCTAGCCACTATGCTATGCACCTGAAACTAATTCAAGAAATACTGAATGTAAAATTTAATTTAAAAATTAAATTAAGCTTGGCTGGTGTGGCTCAGTGGTTGAGTGTCAATCTATGAACCAGAAGGTCACAGTTCAATTCCCAGTCAGGTCACATGCCAGGGTTGTGGGCTCAATCCCCAGTATGGGGCATGAGAAAGATCAATGATTCTCTCTAATCAGTGATGTTTCTATCTCTCTCCCTCTCCCTTCCTCTCTGAAATCAATAAAAATATATTTTTTAAAATTAAATTTAAAAAAAAAACACATTTTGAGTCTAGTCAGAGCAATATGGGAGATTCAACTATTCTTTCAACTTTAACATAGATTTGAAATTTTTAAAAATAAAAAAGTCCTTCTGCACTCCTAGGTTATAGAGATACCTTTGTATATTTTTTTTTATTCACACTAAGATTTTTGATTCCTCTGGAGTTCATTCTGTATGTGGTATGAGATATAGATCCTTTTTTCTTCTTCTATACAAAGTTCCAGCTTTCTCTACACAACCTATTAAACAATGTGTCCTTTCCCCACTGATCTGTGGAAGAATGGATTTTGGTTCCACTGAAAGAGCTAAGCAGAAGAAGGGGAAAAGGAATAAGAAAAGTAGGAGAAACAGCAAAGGGGAAAGAAAAAAAAGGTACATATAAGTAAAGTATAAGAGTTTAGATGAGGAAGGGCTAAGAATAAATGAAACTATTATCAAACTCCATATTTACTAAAGTATGTATATATTCAGGAAAACGTCTAATTTATCTGGTCCACCATATCAGAGAGAACATTTCCAGGAATTACACCATCTGCTACCAACCAGTAAGTTGGATTACATTTTATTGAGTTTTTACTCTATATTTTTTTAATATATATATATATTTTTTTAAAAAAATATATTTTTATTGATTTCAGAGAAAAGAAAAGGAGACAGAATCATCAATCAGCTGCCCCCGACACAGCCCCTACCCAGGAATGTGCCTGGGATCGGACCGTGACCTCCTGGTTCATAAGTCAATGCTCACCCACTAAGCCACAACCAGAGCCTTTTACTCTACTTTAGACAGAACAGAAAGGCTGGCAGAGCAGAGACATTTTAAGAATCTTTAAGAAGGCTTTTTTACAAACTTTCAGATTCCATGGGAAGTGTTTCAAGGTGACTTTAAAACCTATTTCTTTAATTTAGCACCTAGATCAGATTTTAAAACATAAACTTAGCCCTAATCGGTTTGGCTTAGTGGATAGAGCGTTGGCCTATGAACTGAAGGGTCCCAGGCTCGATTCTGGTCAAGGGCATGTACCTTGGTTGCAGGTACATCCCCAGTAGGGGGAGTGCAGGAGGCAGCTGATCGATGTTTCTCTCTCATCCATGTTTCTAACTCTCTATCCCTCTCCCTTCCTCTCTGTGGAAAATCAATAAAATATATTTTAAAAAATAAAACATAAACTTATAGAATTCATAACTCTTCATCCCACTACTGACAGCAGATCAGAAAACGTAAATGTTCTAAAGCAGTGATTCTCAACCTTCTGGCCCTTTGAATACAGTTCCTCATGTTGTGACCCAACCATAAAATTATTTTCGTTGCTACTTCATAACTATAATGTTGCTGCTGTTATGAATCGTAATGTAAATATCTGATATGCAGAATGGTCTTAGGTGACCCCTATGAAAGGGTTGTTCGACAGCCAAAGGGTTCACGACCCACAGATTGAGAACCGCTGTTCTAAAGGAAAACCCGAAAATAGTGGTTGGCAAACTGAGGCTCGCGAGCCACATGGGGCTCTTTGGCCCCTTGAGTGTGGCTCTTCCACAAAATACCAGGTGCAGGCGCACGTACAGTGTGACTGAAACTTCGTGGCCCATGCGAAGAAGTCGGTTTTCGGCCTGGGCAAGTCTATTTTGAAGAAGTGGCGTTAGAAGTGAGGGACAGGTGTCAGTTGGTCGGGCGACGGGAGACGCAGTGCAGGCGGCCGCGGGAGACGGGCGATTCATGCACGAGGTGAGTGAGCCAGTCAGCCAGCCACTCTGTGCAGCGGTTAGTGCTAGTCGAGTCCGCAAGTCGCGTGTGGGTGACAGAAGTACCTACTCAAGCATAAAGTTACCTGTATTTTTCCAACCAGCTGCAAATCCTACTGGTATTTTTGTCATCAATTTAAGAATTGTAATTCTTTTGTGTTGGTGGCTTTATTATTATAAAATGAAACATTTTTTTAGGTGCCCTGTTTGAGATGGCTACAAAGAAGAAGCAAAGAAAAACAAAAGACGAAAACCGTAAATTTAAAGTTGAATGTACCTACCTACACAGTTTAAGTTTAAAAAATTTGGCTCTCAAAAGAAATTTCAATCGTACTGCTGATATTTGACTCTGTTGACTGATGAGTTTGCCGACCACTGCCCTAAAACATACCTTTTATTTTCAGCCAGGCTGGCTCCTTCATCCTTCAGCTGCTTGCTTTTCCTGGCACAGCCTTCCAGGAGACTTTCTTTCCTGCGTTTGGCGGCATGAAGCCCGTTCCCTTCATCACTCTCAACTGCATCCTTTTCATCAGCAGCTTCAGCTTCAAACTGCTGGGAAGTGACCTTTGAGACCTTCTCACCAATTTTCCTCTTCCATCCGAAGGAAGCCATTCTGGAAAATCACAAAAAACAGCTTTATATGTCAAACTTGGCCCTTTATAGACATATGCCAAATAAGTGAAGAAGGAATAAAGGAATAGCAGAATCAGACTATCATCATTTTCTTAATTTTTTAATTTCAGAGAGGAAGGGAGAGGGAGCAAGAGATAGAAATATCAACGATGAGAGAGTCGCTGACTGGCTGCCTTCTGCATGTCCCACTGGGGACCGAGCCCACAACCCAGACTGGCCCTGACCTGGAATAGAACTGTAACCTCCTGGTTCATGAGTTGATGCTCAACCACTGAGCCACACCGGCTGGGCGACTATCACCATTTCTTCACTCCTAATTAAACAGTGGTCCTCGGAAATAATCATCAAGTAACATCAGGAAAGACAAGTGGACATTATGCACCGCCTGATGGAAGGGACACACCAGCCATGATATATTCTTAACTAAAATTAATCCTAAATCATATCAGCCTATAGTTTATAAAAAACATGGGATCTGGATGAGCATGCACAATAACATGACAGAGATGCAGACAGCAAAAACATAAAAATAAAGCTAATTTCTTCAAGAAATAAACTGCCAGGGGTGCCCTAACTGGTTTGGCTCAGTGGATAGAGTGTCGGCCTGAGGACTGCAAGGTCCCAGGTTTGATTCCGGTCAAGGGCATGTACCTTGGTTGTGGGCACATCCCCAGTAGGGGATGTGCAGGAGGCAGCTGATTGATGTTTCTCTCTCATCGATGTTTCTAACTCTCTATCCCTCTCCCTTCTTCTCTATGAAAAATCAATAAAATATATTTTTTCTTAAAAACTGCCAGGGCCCTGGCCGGTTTGGCTCGGTGCATAGAGCGTCGGCCTGCGGACTCAAGGGTCCCGGGTTCGATTCCGGTCAAGGGCATGTACCTTGGTTGCGGGCACATCCCCAGTAGGGGGTGTGCAGGAGGCAGCTGATCGATGTTTCTCTCTCATCGATGTTTCTAACTCTCTATCCCTCTTCCTTCCTCTCTGTAAAAAATCAATAAAATATATTTAAAAAAAAAAAAAAAAAAAACTGCCAGGGGTGAAAGGAGGAGAGAAAGGTGGGAGGTAACCTCTAGATTAAGAGAGACGAAAACACATACTAACCAAATAGAATTTGTGGATCTTGTTAGCTCTAGGTTCAAACAAGGCAATGGGGAGGAAAAAGGGGAAATCAGAACACTGATTTGGTATTTGATGACATTAAGAAATAACTAATTATTTTTTAGGTATGATAAATAGTATTATGATTACACTTATTAAAAAACGCTTATCTTTTAGGCATACATAATAAACTATTTCACATGAAATTATAAGCTACCTAGGAACTGTTTCAATGTAGCCAGTGAGGGTAGGAGTGCAGTAGAGGAGAAATACAGATGAAAAGACTGCTGAGCTGACAGTTGAGGAAGTTAGGTGATGAGAACATAAGATCCTTTATACTTTTCTCTCCTTTCATAAATGTTTGAAATTTTCCATAGTAAAAAGTTTTTCAAAGATTCATCTGGCAAATTCACAGTGGGTGAATCAAAAAGATAACATATGTTAAGTTTTTTTGTAAATCTGCAAGAATATATAAAAATAAAGGATAAGAAAGAATAAAAGGATAATTGATGAAACAAAGTTAAAGGAAAGCCCAGAAGAATTAAACGAATATTTAGAGAAGGGATTTACTGAGGGATCCAAGAACTCTTTACTAATTATATGGATGCGCTTAAAAATACTGAGAAACCTCTAAATTTTTCATATCAATTTTTATGTGCCTGTTTGTGTGTGCATTCTTAAAGGAATCTATGACCCCAAAGAGATTATGATCAACTGACTGACCAACTTGAGAGATAGGAAAAGCAATGAACCAGAAGTCTTCATAAAACTATCCAAGAATGGGCACTGTGGGAATAAGAAATGAAATAGTGAGTTCTAGAAGATACCACGGTCTTCACATCTGAGGCACATGGCTGAAGTAAAGTATAAGTAGTCACTAGAAGGAAAGGGATAGAAAAAGTGAGGCCCTTTACATGGAAAGACTAAGATATTGGCAGAAATTGAAGGGGTAAGAGAATTGTGTTACATGCCTAAGTTCTTAATGAATATGAGTCAGTGCCAATAAGTTATAGCAATCAAGAAATGTGTAGGATCAGGTTTCAGCTATGTTTGCAACAGTTCACAGTTCAATAAATATTGACTGAGTTTAGCAGACTTTTTTTTTTTTTTAAAGAAATGTACAGGTTGATAAGGGTTAACCAAATGCCCGGGTTGTAGGCTCAATCTCCAGTAGGGGGCATGCAGGAGGCAGCCGATCAATTATTTTCTCATCATCATCGATGTTTCTATCTCTCTCTCCCTCTATGAAATCAATAAAAATATACTTTTTAAAAAAAAGAAAGAAGTCTCGTGTGTATGACTGTCTCTAAAGGTGACTAGAATGAGGATGACTTAGTTTTCTGGCTTCAAGTTTCCAAATGCAACTTTGTGAGGCATTCTTTTAATGGGTGGGAACCTTATTAATACTGATGGATATCTGCTGTGGTTACTAAAGGCAAATTACATTATAATTCATTGGTCAGATCTGTAGACTACTGGGAGCAGGGTTTAGAGTGGGAGGAAAGGAAAAAAGGACAGACCTATATGTATTTTTTTTTTAATTAATTCTTCAGCCCAGCTGGTGTGGCTCAGTGGTGGAGCATCAACCCATGAACCAAGAGGTCACCAGATCAATTCCCAGTCAGGGCACATGCCTGGCTTTGTGGGCTCCATCTCCAGTAGGGGGCATGCAGTAGGCAGCCAATCAATGATGCTTCTCTCTCATCGATGTTTCTCTCTATCCCTCTCCATTCCTCTCTCTAAAAATCAATAAATATATATTTTTTAAAAGTTAATACTTCATTTAGACTCCCATTACCACCCCCCACCCCCATCCTCCTACTGAAGACAGGTATTGGTCAAGGCCCCAATGGTGGTTCTCAACCAGGAATAAAGAAGCCACACACCCTGCTGCCTCAGGTGTTTCTGCCATTCTCCTCCATAAATCCTGTAAGATCCCAACAGACCAGAAGCTAGGGAGGTCAGGACACAATGCGGTTTTAGGCGTATCAACAGCCTGATGACCCCTAGCAACTGACAAGTTTAGCCTTGCAGAGGGGGACAAGAATACATTCCTCTCAGACAAGAACTAATATTGAATGAAAAGTTTAGGCAAGTTCAGAAGTAGAGGGAAAAGGAAATGACAAATTTCATACCCCCAAGCTTCACATTTTTTTTCAGAGAAACAGAAGGCTGGTCCTCTGCTCCAAGCAAAAGGAAAAGAGATGAACCTGAGCCAGGAGAACAAAAAAGACCTGAAACAGCAACTAGGAAGAGCAGACACAGCAACAATAAGGGCTGAGTAAAGACGCCACAAAGCATCAAAGGTGCCCAGAGGTTAAAAAGTGCAGATCTCTTACCAACACCATGGTAAGCTTTGTATTTTCTCCACAATTGTCTGGACACCCAAGATAAAGTTAATTACAATACAGGAAAAGTGCTATAAGAGAGCAGACAAAGGATGCCATGATGTCAGAGGAGAATAAGAACAGGCAGGCTTAAAAGAAGGGTGAGTCCCAGGACGGATACAACACACTGTCTGCCTTGGAAAATGTAACCCTCCAAGTTGATTTGGGTATTTTAAAGAGTACGAGTTTCCCGTTCTAAGGCTATCTGAACGTTAAATTAAAACTTACTATACAGAAAGCTTTCTTAAATCTGTAGTTACATTTTCCACCAGGATAAAAAAACAAAACACATCACACAGTAGGTACATCATGATCAAGCGGGTTTCTGTTAAACTCATGAAACCACATAAATTCATTTTATGCAGAATTATACTTAACTAGAGGCCCGGTGCACAAAATTCATGCATGGTTAGGGTCCTTAGGCCTGGCTGGCAATCAGGGCCAATCTGTGGGGTGACAGACAGGGCGATGGGGGGTGCAGAGGGGGGGGGGGTGCGGAAGAGGGGCCTTGCTGGCACCTGCCTTGGCTGGCCTGGGGCCTGCCGACTGGGGCCAGCTCCTGTGTTGAGCATCTTCCCCCTGGTGGTCAGTGTGTGTCATAGCAACCAATGGTTCCACCTGTCTTCTGCTGGTCGATTTGCATATTAGGCTTTTATTATATAGGATTGATGCCATGTTCCGAGCTCTTTCGCTGGTGCAGGTCCCTGCAGCCGCCCTGGATTCCCCCGGGGCCGGGCAGACCCCAGCCCGCGCTGGGGAGGCCGGTCCCTGCCCTGTCGGGGATGCGACACCCCAGGCCAGAACCGCAGGAACACCGGCAGGAAATGGAAACAGACGCTTCCCGTACTGGGATGCACCCGGCCATGAGGCGGTCCAGAAACCAGGTGCCCGAAAATGTCACCGCGAGGCTGAAACCGGCATTAGCGGCTTCCCTTCCTTCTTCACCATTTAAATGTGAGAAATTCATCGAAGCTGCCCGGCAAGTCCCCGCGAGCTCCCAGCCCCGCCCTCAGCCGCGGGCACCGGCCTCGGGTCCCGCTCCTCCCGCCGCTCGGGGAAGGTCAAGGCCACGCACATCGGCGGCGGGCGAGGGCCGCCCCGGCGCCGCTGCAGGGGAGGGCCCGACTCCCAGCCCTGCCCGCCCCTGGGCACCAGCCTCAGCGTCCCGGCTTCGCCACAGCCCGTGGAGCCTCAGCTCCCCCTTCGGAAGCTCCCTTCTCGCGCAACCACAGACCCACTCGCCTGCTTTTGCTGCTCTTCCTCCGGTTCCCAGCACCGACGAGGGAGCCAGTTACTTGAGCACCACTGCCCGGCTCCCGTGTTTACATTCCGCTTGCCCTTTGCCCACAGGAAGCGGAAATCACCAGGCCCGACCTCCGACCTGCCTACTTTTTAAAATCCAAGATACGGGGTTGGCCGACCCGCGGCGTCGGAAGCGTCCAGAGAAACCTGCACGGAAAAGACGCTTCTCAAAGCTTTTCTCATCCGCCAATCCTTCCCCTGGACCACGAATCCCAGAAGTCATGGCGGCCGCCCCCCCCCCCCACTCCTTTACCCTCTGGGATTTGTAGTCCAGCCACCCGAGCTGGGCGCGCCCTCTAAGCAGCAGGCGGAAGTATCGAGTGCGCAGGCGCCGGCGGGAGGGCGTGGGAAACTGCGGCTGCGCGACCCAGCCGGCCAGCGGAGAAGCCGGGAGGCGCGGGCAGAGTGGTGTGGGCGCTTTATTGCAGGAAGGTATGGCCCTGCTCTGAAGAGTGTCCGCTCTCGCTGTGGAGGCCGGCCCCACGCAGGGGCCAGAGGCGGACTCACTGAAAAAGGGCCAGGGAAGCAGGCCGGGGAGCGTCCGCTGTGGACTTCGGAAGACACACGTTTGACAGAGGAGGGGGAATTACGGCCTAAACAAGCTGTGGTTCCCGACTTGAAAATAAGCGCGGGGTGTTCGGGCACCTGGGAACTTGAGGTTGTCGTCACTGCAGCTGTGCTGTGTGAAGGCAGGCCATTGCTGTGGCCCCGGCTTCCGCGGGCCCAGCGCTGTGACCGGGTGGGGAGGGGCTCCCCTGTGCGCGGTGGGCTCCCCTGTGCGCGGGCCTCACCGGTGCGCGGGGGCTCCCCGGTGCGCGGTGGGCTCCCGGGTGCGCGGGGGCTCCCCCGTGCGCAGCCCCGACCCGCCCACAGGCGCCCTGGGCCTGCTGTGGCCACCAATGGAATCGCCTCCGGAGGCCCAACATCCCCGGAAGAAAGGTCGCTCTGCCACCGCGGCCCCGATGACAGCCACCGGTGCCCGCCAGTGCTCCTGCAGGGTGAGCCTCCGGGTGCAGGACAGTAAGAAGCTGGGAAGATTCCCCGGCACGCGGAGCAGAACACACAAGAAAATTCAACAAGCAGTCTGGACAGTTACCGCCAGCTGGGGAATCGCAAGACCTTATCTTCCCAGCCAAGAACACCTGAGAGCAGGCGTTCACACCTCCCCCCCTAGCCAGGGGACTGGAAGTCACCCTGCCTGGGAAATGGAGAACAAAGACCCGGTTAAGGCCATCTGGACCCCCTACCCCAGAGACAGGTGAAGTCAGGGAACACAGAACAAAAACCCCGTTAAAGCCACAGACCAAAGAATAGCTCCAGTGCACACTCATTTTGATGCATCATCATATTTAAAACGCACCTGGAAGCCGGATGACTATTTTACTGAAACCCTCCCCTGAGATTTTCACCTGCAGAAAAGAAAAGGGGTGGGGGGGATAAAAGCCCTCGGGACAAAGGCTCAGGGAGGGCTCACTCGCTATAGAAGCACACCCCCGCCCCTCCCAGGGCATGAACTTTTAATTTCTTCCTAAAACTCTAGGGGTCCCCAGGAGAATTGCAACCAGGGGAGCAGTGGGCAGCGGAAGCTCATTCCAAGCTCACCCCCTGGTGCTGTCTCCAATGCCCCCTTTTTCTCCCACTTCCTGGAGAGCTCACAGCAGCCCCTCTCGGCTAGCTCTTCCCTGTAACTTTCCCCCTGTTGCTGCTTCTACCCTAATTCCTTCCTGTGCCACCGTTCCCGGCTTTAATCAATGTTCTCTCAAACCCGCCTGGACTTATGCTGTGACATCTCTCTAGAGTTGAGACAAAAGTTAATGTCCAAGCACTGCAATTATATTTAGGTACATTGTTTTTAAAAGGGAGGTGCAGATGGTCAGCTATAAAAAAAAAAAAAGTGGGTTTTTCCCCATTTTGTTTTCCCAGAGGCTATAAAAGTTAAACACATTGTAAAACATGAAAAACGATGGGTTTTTATTACCCATTTCTAAATCAAAGCATTTTAAATTTTATACTTAAATATACTCCATTCAAAACAAACATGAACGTGTCTCAGAATATTGCACCATGAAGACTGATGTATACTGTACTACTGTTATGTTGTGTGTGGAATTTCATTCATCTGGCCAGAACTCACAATGAAAAAGAGATTTCTACTGTGGAGGTGGGCAATAGGAGTTTAAGGGGAAAAAATTTAAATAATGCATATTTTTCTTTCATTCCAAAGGTGCCAGTCAGAGCATAAATGCATAAAGTTCTATGCATGGCCACAGTCCAGCAAGCAGGTATTCAATGTGAATGTTATCACTACAAGGTCCAAAAGGGTGGGGCAGGGGTAAGAGAGGGCAGGACTTTTTGTATAAAATCATTTAAAACTGTGAAAAAAACTATAGAAGCATCTCAAGAGAATATATAATCAAAGTAAAAGCAATGAATTTTATTTCAGTGAAATTATTTTAAATTAGATATGATATATTAAGCTCCCATATCCCCCAACGTGGTAGAAAAGTTCCTCTCGGTGAGAAATCATTTATTTTAATGGCAAAATTTTTACACATCAGTAAAATCTGTTATATTTAAAACTATGTATATAGTACATTTCTGGCAAAAAACCTTATACATCTTTCAGTTGTCAAAACAAAGTAAAAATATGGTTGCATAAAATCACAAAAAAATATAAATTGCTGAAGATAAAAAAAGATAAAAAATAATTTGCATTGACTCTTTTACATTTTCAATTAGTAAGAATTTGCAAACTACAATAAATTCGTGAAAATTCTGATGCAACCTTTACATACTCAACGAAAAGCTGTCATTTCAAATGTCCCAGCTTAAAAAAGAACTTACTGCAATAGTCTATGCATTTATCATACTATTTGTACAAGTGCAAGATTTAAATATCTTCAAAATAAAACTCAGTAACTAAAAGGAATCACAATAACTTAAAAAGAAGCAAAGTTTACAAAAGTAACAACTTTTAGAAGGTCCTATTTAATTGGTTCCTCCTTTTGTTTCCCCCACCTCCCCTGCCCCATAACAGCTTACAGAGACATTACAGCAATGTCTTAGTTCTATATACAGATGTGTAACTTTAAAAATAGTCTCTGTTCTTAACATCAGGAACAATGCTGCATTTAGAGAGCCTACATAGTAAATCAGTATCTTCTAAACAGAGGGCCACGTACAATTTAAAATATAGTTTTGAACTTATACCTAAATGGAACTCCTACTGTTTTATACAGCTTTCAGATTCTAAACTGAATAGAACAAGCCCTGGACAAAAAGAAGCCCAGATTTTTCTTTTGGATTCAGTGCATGTTTCTAGGGGTGCTGGAGGCAAATCAACGACAGTACTATGCAAGCTACCATGACATCTGCGTACGTTACTGTCCAATTACACAGGTGCTCACTGTATTTGCAAAAAAACACACACACACAAAACAACAAACCCTACATTAACAGTCTTAAACGAGGGGGCAGGGGGAGAGCTTTTACAATGGAAAAATGATTAACAGCAAAATATATCCATTTCTTGAAGGTAAAATTGTATAAGGCGAATATGAGTAATACTTTTATTTTTTATTAGCATACACATGATAGCAATTTTATCTGAGGTGACTTTAAATCTTCATTTATACTTGTAATGTAAAGCTATTGCTAAGAGCAAGAAAAAGACTATAAATCAGAAATCTTAGGAAGATTAAGCATCTTTAGGCGGTTCCCATAATACTACCTTTTTAAAAGTAATTAAAAAGCAAATCAAATGTGACCATTTAGAAGTATCCAATTATTTCCGTATTTTACTAAAATAGTGTTATACCTAAGAGGACATTACCAAATGCAATGTGTAAACTTTAATTGCATCTGGTTTGAAATAACCAGCTATAAAAGAAATTTGGAGAACTGGGAAAATCTAAATATGCATGATTAAATTACATTAGGGAATTGTTTTTGTAACAGGATTATGGTTTAAAATATTTTTTAAATAATTATTTTTAGAACATGCTTGAAGTGTTGAGGGGTAATGGGTAGGTCTACAATATCCAAATGGTTCAGGGAAGAGCATATCATATATACAAAAATATATGTATAACTATATCCATGTACACAAGTATAAAGCAAATATGGCAACATGTTAACAAGTGTTGAATCCAAGTGGTAGACACACATGTATAAATGTTTATAATGCAATCTGGAAGCAAAAGTCACATCTGAACCTTTAAATAGTTTGTAAGAGGTGTTCTTTCTGTGCAGTGAATCAATTTAAAAGATATATGATCGAACAACAAGAAGTGTTTGCATACATTCAATACTGACAGGAGGAGCAAAGGAACAGGTAAGATTGGCAAAAACAACATGATGTATTCACAGTATATGCAACTCAGCTCTTGCGACAAAAAGAGCAATTTATGTACAGAATATAGGGACAAATTGTTAAAATTAAACTCGGTGCCTAGAAATTTAAATGTTAGTTCTGTATGTGTTTCTGGACTTAACCAAACTAAAAAGAAAACTTGCATGTGTCTAATCTTTGATGTGACTCACCAAATACTATAGAATATTAAGGGGGGGGGGGGGGGGGGAATATGGAAGAGTCCTCCATGCTGTCCCTACTGTTGGAAGATACTTGCTACCTAAGAAGTTCAGGAGCCCAGAAAACAAAATCACCCATAAAGTTCTCTGGGGATTCTAGGCAAGTATTTATTGAATAAATTTATGAAGCAAATATATAACACAACATGTAATAACAAATGAAGGCCTTTATGGTAAATTAATATTCTACAAAGCCCTGTGTACACTAAATATAAAAGAGCCAAAAATCAAGTGAGCCTGAGAGACCTATAATTCATTGTGTATATTTTATGATGCTATATGCCTACTGAAACAGGGAACAAAATTACCTTAATTCATTTTTGCACATTAGGCTTTTAAACTAAATCAGGTTCCAATCCCTGTGCAAAATGCATTCCAAAAGGCTAATCCTCAGTTATAATTATGTATAACTTGATTATAAATGGAAGCATTTGGCTATAATTTATTATGCATGCTTATTGCTATCAGAGAAATAAGCAAAGTTTTAGGTTTATTGT